GACACAGCAGACACTTGTGCTCTATGGACTGTCTGGTGTAAGTACAGAGTGGAGGCCAGTTCCATGGCTGGAAAGCAGTGGGCAGCCGGGCCGTGGAAACTAATGAGGCCATGTTTAAGCAGCTTGGACAGCTCTTGGGCGGTGGTTCTCAGTTGAGGGTGATTTTGCTTCCGAGGGACATCTGGCAATGTCCGGAGACACTTTTAGTTCTTACTGCTGGGGAGTGGGGTGCTACTGGCATCCAGGGAGGGATAGGCAAGGAAGGCTCTGAATATGCTACAGACCAAGAGTTGTTGTTGTTGTTTAGTTGCTAAATTGTGACCCCGTGGATTGTAACCTGTCAGGCTCCTCTGTCCATGGGATTCTCCAAGCAAGAATACTGGAGTGGGTTGCCATTCCCTTCTGCAGGGGACCTTCCCGACCCAGGGATCGAACTCGTCTCCTGCATTGACAGAGGAATTCTTTACTGCTGAGCCACCAGTGAAGATCTGCAAACCAAGAATTATCCAGCTCCTGGTGGCTCAGATGGTGAACAATCTGCCTGCAATGCAAGAGACCCAAGTCTGATCCCTGGGTGGGAAAAATCCCCTGGAGAAGGGAATGGCAACCCACTCCAGTATTCCTACCTGGAGAATCCCATTGTCAGAGGAGCCTGGCAGGCTACAGTCCTCAGGGTCACAGAGTCAGACACAACTGAGCGACTAACACTTTCACAAATCTCTATGGGGCCCAGAATTAGATCCTTTGGTTGATCTTGCTGTAGGAAGGCTGGGGTCCTGAGGGCCCCACATGTGGAAGTTTCTTGGCCGATGTGCTCCTTCTAGAAGAGAGGCAGATTGCCCTAAGGACAGGTGGAGATAACCAGGCCTGTCCTCCCCAGGGCACAGCATTTCTGAGGAGCTGGGAGGAATTAAGTTATAACACAGTAACTAACATTAATACAGTGCTTGACAGGTGACAAAGTGTTTCCTGTGTGCTAGGGTTCACACAGATTGGGGTCTTCTGTACCATGCCCCCCCCCCATATTGCTGGGGTCATGGACAGGTTGGGGGAGGGGAAAGGCTACATCTGCTTCTCATTCTCCCATGAAACGAGTTCCTTGTCATTAACTCCCCAAAGTCTCCCTTTGATCACAGCTCTGACTGTGCAAACCCTGCTTGTTATTCCAGGTTCCCCTTATGGGTGGGAGGCCTTCCCCAGCAGATGTGAAGGCAAACAGATTCTTTCTCCCAGTGCTGTGGTTTCCTGGAGCTAGGATGCCATGACATCAGATGGGTTAAGTGTGGGTTTCACATACCTGATATGTATCTTATAATCTTGGAGGAAGTTGTGTTGCTCAGTTGCTAAGCTGTGTCTGACTCTTTGTGACCCCATGGACGGCAGCACGCCAGGCTTCCCTGTCCTTCACTATCCCCCAGAGTTTGCTTTAACTCATGTCCATTGAGTTGGTGATGCTGTCTAACCATCTTATCCTCTGCTCCTTCTTTTGCCTTCAGTCTTCCCCAGCATCAGATTCTTTTCCAGTGAATCGGCTCTGCACATCAGGTGGCCAAAGTATTACAGCTTCAGCTTCAGCAACAGTCTTCCAATAAATAATTAAGGTTGATTTCCTTTAGAATTGCCTCTTTTGATCTCTTTGTAGGGAGGGTGGGCAGCAAAAGCTGGCCAGGGAGGTTGGGCATTCAGGAAATGGACTGGATTTCACGTGTCAGGAATTTCATATCCATGATTTTACTTGTTTCTCAAGACAACTCCTTGAAATGGGTTTTATGATAGTATCTATTTTTCATAAGAGGAACTCAAGCTCAGAGTGGTTTATTAACTTGTCTAAGCTCATGTAGAAAGTTGAGCTCTTGGAAAGTATTTGGGTCAGGGGCAGTGGGGTGGTGCTCTCTGGGCCATCATGGGTTCGGCAAGGGTAGATGAGAACTGGCTGAGGGTAGAGTGGCAGGAGAACCACACGCCTGGGACAGGTTAGTCCAAGGTTAGTGGACAGCATCACCATGCCATTGAGCAGGGCAGCTTCAGGCTAGAATGAAGGAGTGGGATCAGGGTGGCCACTGGACAGGACATCACCTCTCTGGGGATTGGAGGAGACAGAGTGGGGGTACTGGGAGTGAACAAGAGAGGCACCGTAGAGGGGCCTTAGAGGGGCCTGCAGACCAGAACAGGAGTGGAGACAGCTCTGAGGGACTGAGTTCTTTACTGCTTCCCATGTGTGCCCGGCGATGGGGAATGAAATGTCCCATGTAGAATAACACATGGCCCCCAGGGGAGCATCTCCCCTCTGTTGATGTATGTGCTTTAATGAACTACAGGGTACCACTGGCTTCTTGGCTTCTTTGAGTGATCTGGAAAAAGGGCCCTTCTGGGTGGGTGCCTAGTTCAGAGCCTGGGCTGGATTTCTGCCCCCTTGGCTTGGCTAGGTGTTGACATAGGCCAGGTGCTGATGTAGGACATCTATAGAGCAGGCCCATCAACAGGCCTGGTGGGACTGTGTGACCAGAGATGAGGAACCAAGGAGAGTGTGTTGCTGCATCCAGCCTCCAGGAGGGTGGGCACTGACTTGTACCTGTATTTGTAGGTACAGCACCTGGCACTGGGCTGGTTTGGCAGTGTTTGGTGAAAGAATGAATAAAAGAGGGTTGCTTCAGTCCGTGGGATAGCAGACTCAGACATGATTTAGCAACTGAACAACAATACACCTTCCTTTTGGTTCCCTTGAGTGAGTCTTCAGCCTTCTTTGGAAGAACATTTGCGGGTGAGGAGGAGGATGCTATGGGGCATGTAAGATGGAGGCTAAAAAAGGGGGAAGCTTGACTCATTATGTCAACCTCACAGTAGATGTTTTAGAATCCTTAAAAAAAAAAAAGCTGTATGTTATTGAGTGATGGTGGGCTACTAGGAGCCAGACATGGTGCTCAGCCTTCTGTGATGTGCAGTTTTATATATCACTTTGCCTAGACCTGAGTCTCCAGCTATTCAATCAAATGCTAATTTAGGTATTGCTATGAGGGCGTATGTGTGCTAAGTTGCTTCATTTGTGCCTGACTCTTTGTGACCCTATGGGCCATAGCCCACCAGGCCCCACTGTCCATGGGATTCTCCAGGCAGGAATACTAGAGTGGGTTGCCATGCCCTCCTCCAGGGGATCTTCCTGACCCAGGGATTGAACCTGCATCTCTTAAGTCTCCTGCACTGGCAGGCAGTTTCTTGACCACTAGCGTTACCTGGAAGCCGTGAAGGTCGATGTCCTTAAAGTCCAAAACCAGGGACTTTAAGTAAAGGAGATGATCCAAGGCAACCTGGATGGGCCTGATTACATTAGTTCAAAGGTTTTAAGTGCAGAGCTGAGACTTCCCTGAAGGGGAAGAAATTCTGCCTGGGGTCTATAGCTGGGTCTGAGTTCCAGCCTGCCCTTCCTAAGGGGCCTCCCCTGTGGATTTCAGACTCACCCAGCCAGCCCCACAATCTCATAAGCCAATTCCTTGCAACAAGCCTCTTAGTATGTATCTCCTGCTGGTTTTATTTCTTGGCTGAACCTGGACCAATACACCTTCATATGGATCAATTTATCTAATCCACTCAAAGACACTGTTATGATTCTCATTTCACACTGGAACCCAGAGAAGCTGAGCAGTGCCAGCAAGCAGTGAAGCCAGGACTCAAACCACAAGCCTTCTCCCTCAGAGCCCATGTTCTCAGCTGCTGCCGCAGAGACTCGCAGGGTGACAGCCTTGTAGATGGCAGCCAGTGCAGGACAGCTGACAGGCTTTCAGATGGATGGGGCCGTCGTGATTGGCTCTTTGGGGCACTGTTGTGAGGGAGGGGGTGGCAGCTGCCCAGAGCGAGTCACCACGGCACTCAGACCTGGGGGACACACACATTTTGACATCCCCTTCCAGCAATAATCTGCCCTTTCCTCTGAGTGCCCTGACATTCTGAGTAAGCACAAAATGTTCCCTCGGTCTTGCGTTTGCTTGTGCATTACTTTGCTTTCCAGTTATCCTTTGGTGGTTTGTTTTTTCACAGGGCTGAGCTTCTTAAAATTCCCTGACATGTTCACTATCCATCCTCTGTCCTGGACTCTTTCCTCTCAATCATGCATTCATTCAAAATGATGTTGAATTACCCTCCTTAACAAAGCAGCACCCAAGAAGAAGATGGGGTGGTGGCTCAAAAGGAACTGAGGGGGCTCCAGTATCTTGGGGGTGTTCCTTGGCTGTGTCCATGTCATACTTGAGTGAAAATTCCCCTGAGGAGAAATAAGTTAAAGAAAAACCTTTGGGTCCAAGTTTGGGGTGCTGATTTTCCCACAGTTTAAAATAATGGAGTAGACATCAATCGTATTTGATTTGTCTCTGTATAACAGCTTGGACTGGAATCGCTGATCTGTGCTCACTTCCGGTTCTCCTGCCCATGGCCCTGCAGTCCTGAGGAGACTGAACACGCGCAGACCAAGAACTGAGGAACAGAAGGTGTTTCCTTCCAGCAATGGCTTTTGGAAAACGCAGAGTGGAACTCGAGTCACAGTCGTTGTGTGTGGGGTGGGTGTGGGGTGTGTGCACATGTGTATATTTTTCTCTGTGTCAGAGGAGGTGTGGGCTGTGAGCAGAAAGAGGGTGACTAATAATGAGCAGGAACTGGGTAATTCTTCCAGCTTGAGAGGTGAAGTTTGAAGCCATGGGATGACACTGGGGCTCTGAACTCATGGGCCCCCCCCAGGAGCGTGACTGGGGATGGAAGACTCGGCCTAAGGAAGTCAAAGGGGAACAGAGACCAGTGCCCATGGCTTAATGACAGTTCCAAGGATTAGGGTGTTTCCATTTTCTCTGTGTCACTAGCTTTGTGTCTCTGTTTCTCTCCCATGTGTGTGCCTGTCCGCTTTTTTTCTTTGGAAGCAGAAAAGCAGTTGAGCAGTTCACAGAATCACCAGGAAGAGAAATACTGGGACCTTCCAAAGGCACGGGGACAGAAGGAAGAACCACAGGCAAACTCACTCCTCCGAACCACTGCCGATGCCCTGCTGGCTCCTGGGTGTCACCCAATGGCGCTGCGGCCTGCAGATGCTGGACCCTGGCTGTGCCCAGACCAGAATCAGGGGAGCTTTTCATAGACCTGGCAGATCGCAGCTGGGAGACTTAGAGGTGCCATGAGTCCTCAAGGGACCCACCAACTGGCTAGGGGGGCCAGCTAGAGGCAGCCCTGGGATTTGGGTATACTGCTGGAAGTAAAAGAGACAATTAAGGTCAACTTTTGTGCTAGTTGGGCACCAAGTGTAGACAAGGAATTTCAAACTTTAATTTTACCCGGAAACATCAGCAATCCCTTCCCTAAATTTCCCTAGAGATTTTGGGGTGATTTCTAACCCGCAGTAAGATGGATGGGAGCTTCCCATGTGGTGCTAGTAGTAAAGAACCCGCCTGCCAATGCAGATGTGAGAGATGTGAGTTCAATCCCTGGGTCGGGAAGATGCCCTGCAGGAGGGCATGGCAACCTACTCCAGTATTCTCGCCTGGAAAATCCCACGAACAGGGGAGCTTGGCGCTGTGGTACTTCAGTTGCAAAGAGTTAGGCACAACTGAAGCGACATAGCACTCACACATGCACACGCAAGATGGATGGATCAACAAGACTTTTCCCGTGTCTCTAGTTGATCAGGTACAGAGTCTTCCGGAAAATGGGTCAGCCAAGTGGCAATGGAATGGGAGAGAGGAGAAGGGAAAGTAAGGACTCAAGATAACATGAAAAATGAAGATACTGGAATCTTCCAGCTCTACATCCCTAATTGTTTGTTTGTTTTTACTTTGAGCCACAGGTGTTTTTTGTTTAAGCTGAGATCTTGACTTTCAGGAGCAAGCTGTCATGGTCCTCAAATTTGGGAAGCAGTGATGGTGGAGCGGGTGACACCCAGGAGTTCCCATCCTCTCACTGCAAGCTGGTTGCTGTTTTGTTGGTGTGGCCAGTTAGAGCCTGCTCTGGGAGGGGAATCTTCCAGAGTCCTGGGAAGTGACCGTCTCAAGGTCTCATCCTGGAAGAACGTGTGTGGGCACGCATGCGCAGTCGCTTCAGTCATGTCCAACTCTCTGTGACCCCATGGACAGTAGCCCGCCAGGCTCCACTGCCCATGACATTCTTCAGAATACTGGAGGGGTTTGCCATGTCCTCCTCCAGGGCATCTTCTTGACCCAGAGGTTGAAACTGCACCTCCTGCAGCTCCTGCAGTGCAGGCAGGTTCTTTACTGCTGAGCCACCGGGGAATCCCCCTGGAAAAACAGTCTGACCTGAAGGAACAGGTGAGGGGTGACCTCTGTATTTCTCAGCCAATTTCTAGAAGATGACAGAGAGGGCTAGTAGTGAGTTTAGTCTCATGGAAATCACAGGCTTTGCAGCCCTTGGGATATGTGAACTTTCTGATTTCCTTCCTCTTTGTACCAGAAAACCAGATCTGCCTCTGCCAAGCTTGGGGCTGCAGAAGGGGCCTTGGAACCAGGGCTAAGGGGAGAGATAGCCCGAGACCCATGACCTCCTCCACACAAGGAGAGGTGGCTCCTGACTGGTAGAACTGGCTGTGCCTAGGTGTGTATCTGTGTATATCTGAGTGTGTGTGTGTGGTTGGTGGTGTGGCACAGAGCTGAGGCTGGCTCTGCTGAAGGCCTGCTCTTCACATCCTCGAAGGGAGAAGGCATTCTCCTTGAAGCCTGGGAGATGCAGAATATCGGAGAGAACACATTTGCCCAGAACAAAGCAGATCCCTCAAAGGTTCTTTCCTGTTTCTGATTCTAAAAACTGACCTGCCCTTTCATCAGCTTCTCACATTCCCAGCCTGTCTATGTCACTGTCGTTTTCCAGTTCCTGGCATTTCAGAGCTCATCCTTTCTCTTTTGTCTCTCCGTCTGTCTAGGCTGGTTTGCATCTCTTTGTCTTTGCAGGGTCTGTGTCCTTGCCTCTGTCTGTCCCTCCCTCCGCCTTGGCGGGCTTCTCTCTCATCTGTCGCTTTTAGCTCCTCTCCTCCTGACTAGCACTGAGCAAGTGGCTGTCAGTCGTCCCTCACTAGAGCAGAATCCCAGAGACGACCAGTGTTGGATCTGATGAGAGATTTTGGCTCCCCATCTGATTTCCCTCCAACTTGGTTTTGAAGCTCCACGCAGCCTGGGGACGTCTGGAGGCTGGCTGGACCATGCTGGGCTCTGCAGCTCTGGGCCCCCAGCCTCAATTGGCTCTCGAGTCCCACCCCTTCTCCTGACTTGGAGTGATCCCGTCATCCTGTCTTACAAATTGGGATCGCTCCCTGCATGTGGGCTTTGGTGACAGCCACCAGATGGCAGGGACTGGTTTTTATAGTAACTCATTAACCTCTTGCCATCCTACAATTAAGAAAGCATTTAATTGCTTTTTCTCGAGCCATCCTCGGAGTGATTTGGGCAGCTTGTGTTCATCATGGGAACCAATTTGCAGCTCGAGCCCGAGAGAGTGGGAGCAGCCGGGTGTGGTGGGCTCAGACGTGGTGAGCATCCTGGGCGGCCCTGGTTTGCCTTTGGGGGCCTCTGGGTGGAGGGGAGCACAGGCCTCAGAACCTTTCCCACCCTGACTAGCTCCCTGCTGGGTGGATGAACCCGTGGATTAGCACTGAATGTACCTGTGAGGCTATCTAAGTTTTCCCCCTCGTTTAAAAGTTAAAAAAAAAATTTATTTGCTTCTTTACTTTGGCCGTGCTGCGTCTTCGCTGTCGTGTGCAGGATTTTTCTAGCTGTGGAGAGCAGGGCCTGCTCTTTAGGTGTATTGTTTGTGGTGCTTCTCATTGTGGTGGCCTCTCTCGTTGCAGAGCATGGACTCTAGAGCACACGGACTTCAATAGTTGTGGCGTATGGGCTTGGTTTCTCTACAGCATGCGGGATCTTCCCAGACCAGGGATCGAACCCATGTCCCCTACATTGGCAGGCGGATTCTTCACCACTGGACTACCAGGGAAGTTCCTTCCTTCTCATTTAACTGTGGGGGAGACTAAGACCAGAGAAGTCAAGGAACTTGCCCACAGTCACACGGCTAATCAGAGGTCTGATCAGGGGGCTGCAGCCCGAGCCTTTGTTTCCCTCTGCTGTGCTCGGGGTGACTCCTTGCTCTGCCAGCATTCCCTGGGAGATGAGCCTCTGCAGTGTCTCTGGAACCATGTTACTCACATACATCGCCTTTAGATACCTAACTGTCCAAGGGTTCTTTATTCAGGAAGTAGCTCAGAGCCTCCCCGGGATGGATTAACCACCTGCATCCAGAGAGGCAGGACCCACCCGCCTCTCCCCCCACAGGCAAACAGCACGCCTGTCTGCCTTACTGCATCACTGGGGGTTACTGAGCACTCAGCGCCGTGACCCCTGGAGCTCTAGCCCAGGGGTCAGCAGAACTCTCACTAGCCTTACTTAGGTGCCAAGCTCACATTAGCTGACCTGCTCACGGCAGAGGCCCCCAGGCCACCCAGAGACCATCAGCATCTTGCCCCATCACTTTGCCCAGGCACGGCCTCCGCAGGGCAGGTCCTGGCATCTGACATTGCTGTGACCTTGTTTACTGACTGCTGGTAACTTTCCGACCCTCACCCCACCTCCCCAACCCCACACCCTTCCACTGTGTCTTGGGTGCTTCTGCTCCACAACAACAGATACCTCGGTACCAGCAGGATGGACAGATAGTTGCACCATCCAGATGCCCTAGGTCTTGCCTAGGCTGCTGGGAGGGTGGTCAACAGGCTACGTCTGGGGTCCATCTTAGCTGCAGAGGGCTGCCTTGCACATAGTCGTGCCCTTCTGGTGGCGGTAGCGGGGGCGCCCCATCTGATGATTGACCCATGAGGAAGGACAAGGATCAGTTATTTTAGTCCAATGAAGGACAGCTCTGATGGGCCATTTTGGATCCAGAGCTCCCCGTGAAGTCAGTCAAGGGCCTGCCACTGGCCTGCATCCCAGCTTCATTTCTTCTCCTGACTTCTGCTTCGTCCCAATCACATCCCTAGGTGTTAATCCCGAGAACATTCCTGCTTATGAAGAAATATTAAATGTGGCAGCTCCGTATTTAACATTTTGAAGAAGTGCCAGACTTTTTTAGATTCCCACCAACAATGTGTAAGGGTCCAACTTATCCACATCCTCGTCAGCACTGTCCATTTTTGTGAAAATGGCCATCCTAATCGGTGTGAGGTGGTATTGTGGTTTTAATTTGCATTTCCCTAATGACTCTTCCCTAATATTGAGCATCTTTTCATATGCTTAATGGTCATTTGCATATCTTCTCTAGAGAAGTGTCTCCTTGTATTCTTAGTACATTTTTTAATTGGGCTGTCTTTTATTGCTGAATTATGAGAGTTCTTTGTATATTCTGAGGAGTAAATCCTTATCAGATATATAATTTGCAAATATTTTTTCCTCTTCTCTGGTTTGTCTTTTCATTTTTAATAGTGCCCTTTGACACAAACAAAGTTTTTAATTTTGAAGAAGTCCACTTTATCTGTTTCTTTTTTTGTTGTTGTTTGTGATTTAGGTGTCACATCTAAGAGTGACAGTGAAAGTTGCTCAGTTGTGTCCAACTCTGAGACCCTATGGAATTTTCCAAGCCAGAATACTGAAGTGGGTAGTTGTTCCCTTCTACAGAGGCTCTTCCCTACCCAGAGATCAGACCCAGGTCTCCCGCATTGCAGGTGGATTCTTCACCACTGAGCCACCAGGGAAGTCCCATATCTAAGAAACTGTATCCTATTTCAAGGTTAAGTGAGCCCCCGTCCAGGGGCTTTTTCCTCCAGGGCCCACCACACAAAAATGAAGTCGCTCAGTCGTGTCTGACTCTTTGTTACCCCATGGACTGTAGACTACCAGGCTCCTCTGTCCATGGGATTTTCCAGGCAAGAATACTGGAGTGGGTTACCATTTCATTCTCCTGTAGTAAGTTTAAAAAAAAATTAAAACAACCTTGTCTCCAGCTTTATTTGTATACAATTGACATATAATTTTGTGTAAGTTTAAGGTGTTCAATGTGATGACTTGATACACATATATATTGCAAAATGGTTACCAGAATAAGCTTAGTTAACACCTCCATCACCTCATACCATTACCACTGTGTGTGTATGTGTAAAAACATTTGAGGTGTAATCTTTCAGCAACTTTCAATTATGCAACACAGTATTGTTATCTATAGTCACAGGGCTGGGCATTAGATCCCCAGAGCTTGTTCATCTTATAATTGTAAGTTTGCTCTTTGACCCATATCTCCCTATTTCCTTCACCCTGTGATAAGTTTTGAAACCCAGCAAGTAAGTTCTTCACTTTGTTCCTTCTTTTGAAGGATTGTCTATGCTTTTCTGGATCCCTTACATTTGCATGTGAATTTTGGGACCCAAGGGGACAGGAAAGGGAGGGGAGCTTTTCAAGTTGCTGACAGTAAGGCCTGTGATATGGGACTCCCTCCCCCAACCCCCGGGCCCCGCCACGGTCTTCATTAACCTTAGTTGTGTATGTGACTAACTGGGCAAACACATTTGCTTATTAATTTTTTATATATTTATTTGCTTATTTACTTAGGTATTTCATGAAACAGGGTAAGGGGGGCCACTTCTGGTGTTCCTATTGACTCAGTGTGGAATGGGGACAGAGACCTGGAGGCAGGAGGTCCCAGCTGGGAAGACTCCGGGAGTGAAAGCCTTTCCAAACCTGGGACAGCTCCTGGCCCCTTGGGCTGGTCCACTGGGAACTTGAGAAATCCACGCCCACCCCACCCTCCATCGGCAGGCCCGTGGGTGGTAACACGGAGCGCAGAAACGGAGCTGCTGCCTGGACGGGCGTAGGAAAGAGGCATGTGGCACCCTGCGGCAATTCTGCGGAACAGAGTTTGACAACAGGGCCCCTGTGTGCCTCTAGAAGGGTTAGCAGTGTAGCCCGCGCCTCACTGGGGGGGCGGCTCTCCCCCACCCGCCTCGGACAGATGGGGTTCACGAGCTCCCCGGGACTCCGTCTGTCACGTCTCCCAGCCGCCCCGTCTTCCCTGGAGCCGACAGCTGGGCTGGCTGCCTGTGCGGAGTGGCAGCCCCTCGGCTGCCTGAAGCCAAGTTCCTCTCAGCGCCGTCACTCTGGGCCGCTCCTGTGGCTGCCGTGATGGTTGAAGAGGCCCGCGGGACTCGCGTCCTCTGCGCAGACTCCAGGGCTGGGCTCTGAGACCCAGGAAGGCCGAGGTCTGGCCAAAGGGCGCAGGTGTGCTGGTGTGTGTGTGTGGAGGGGCCGGTGTGCGCGCGTGTGAGCATTCCAGTGTCCCGCGTACGGGAGTCTGTTTACTCATCCTCCCGTCCGAGTCCTTCAGGGAGACAGCATTCTGCCTCCTTTCCTGGGACAGGAATTGTCCGCCACTCAGCGCTGCCCAGATCTGGTTCCCAGATGCCTCTGCAAATAACTTAGTGGGAGAGGGCTTGCTTACTGGTCCTAAAGTCTGGAAGAATCCTGGACATTCAGAGCCACGGGTGAAAGGCAGCTTGGTTCGGGAGAGGCTGCGGACTTCGGAAACATCCTGCCCGGGATCCATCTCAGTTCTAACTGGCTGTGTGACCTTGGAGAAGTTACTTAGCATTTCAGCTCCCATTTCCTCCTCTGGAAAAACCTGGTAGGGTTGTTGTGGTGATGAAATTAACATACAATAAAATGCCCAGTGACTTGTCTGCCCTGAAATGCTGCATTTGCATCTGCTGAAGATGGGGCTCCCAGGAAACCAAGCTTCAAGCCAGAGTTTAGCAGTCAGGATACTAGCTAGGGTATGCCCTGGGGATCAACAATCTTGGAAGGAAAGAGGCTGAAGTGGCTGTGGTCAGAGGGCGAGTGTCCCCAACTCTCACAGAATTCTGACACCAAAGTGAAACTTCACACACTGCGCTGGAGGTGTCCATGTTTGATGATCCACTGGAAGGACTCCCAGGACTCCGTATAGCGGTCCTCGCAGCAATGGTTTGTTTACCACAGTGATAAGCAAATAAACCTCTTGGGCACAAGCTTCCAAGACCCCTCACCTGGTGGAGTTGTATAGGACACACTCATTCTTCCAGCAGCAAATAATGGCAACACATATGACCTGTTCTTAGCCAGGGGGGTTCAATTAGAGACTCAGAATCCGGGGCTTTTGTTGGGCGGGTGGGGGGCGAGGGCTGGCCATCCAGGCACCTCTGTCTGCCCTGCACCACAGTTCCCGACTCCCAGGAGGAAGGCAGGAGCTCAGCATGAAGCATAATGTTTGGACAGTGTAGGTAGAGTGAGCCAGTCTCATCAGGGAATGGAGGGGACCCTCCAAAACCCCAGTTCCCATATGCCAACTAAGGGTTAGCCCGGCCAGCAGGCCTTCAAAGGAGGACAGCTTCGGGTGTTTGTGGTAAACCTTTAATGCACGTTTCTCCACTGTAATGTCACCAGATGTGGTCCTCAGGGGAGGAGGTGAGATCTTGGTGCAGCAGCCCTCTGACTCCCAAAGCCTGCATGCCATAGCCCCCCAGCAAGACCTCCATTAATGGGGGAATCTGCATCCAAGTGTCCACACAGGTGTGAGGTGAGTACGGTGTGCTCATGGGCCTCCGGTCTATAGAATGTCGAGGGGCTCTGCCATTGGAAATGTGGCCATGTCACCTCATGTGGACCCAGAAGAAATAAACCAAGAGAGCCCCTGACATTGTCCGTTCATAAATCATTTACAGAATGTGCACAGGTCAGACACCGGAGAGAGGAAGTGGTGCTTGGCATTCAAGGGGCCTTGTCTGTAAACACAGATGACCAGAGAGAAACAGAATAGACTGGTGATATGAAGACGTATTTGCTGAATTGAGTTGATCTCACTGACCACCTTCCCCATGCTAAGAGCTGTGGATTTAGAGACATAGATAGGGCTTGGTTTCCACCCTTAGGTGCTCACCGTCTAGAGTCAGGGACTGACCTGTAGTCAGAAAGATGTAACTGGAGAAGCAAGACAGGTAACTGAGAGAAGCAGAGAGTGAGGAGGGCCCGGGAGACCCTGGTGCCTAGTAGGAATGGAGTGAGGAGGGAAGGCTTCCTGAAGGAGGTGTCCTTCAAGTTAGGCTGTAACGGATTAGAAGTTCACCAGGTGGACTAAGGGAGAGGAAGGAGATTTGAGGAAGGAGATTTCAGGAATGGCCAATATAATAGACCTGGGGTAACCCAAAGCCTGTGGATTCTTATGATCGCTGGTATCTTATTCTTTTGAATGATTTCTTCTAAATCAGGAAAATTTCCTGGAGTCATGGAATCTCCAGTTGGAGAGAACCTTAACAGCTCTCATAGCTGACTGTGCATCCGCATCAAACTGCTGGGAAGTCTTGCCTGCATCCCTCTGATGACAGGAAGCTCACTACCTCTTCATTTAGATGACTCATCATCCTGGCAATCTTCCTTCCTTCTACTGAGCTGGAATCTTTTACCTTGTTTCTTCCAGTTATTGATCCTGATATTGTCCTTTGGATTGATGACAAATTTAGATCTTAATGAATCATGAGAGTGTGTGGGTTTTCTGCTTTTACTCTCCAAGTATTCAATAGTCCCTCTATCTGTTCAATAGTAGCAAAGGAAAGAAGGCAGCAACTGGAAATGGAGAGCCAAAGAGAAGTAGTATAATGACGCGATTAAGAGTGAGACTCTGGAGCCAGACCGTCAAGGGTGGAATCTCAAAACCATGCCCCTTATTACATAACCTCAGCAGATAACTTAATCTCTCCGTGCCTCAGTTTCTTCATCTGCACAATGGGGACAAGCAGAGTCATTGGGTGGTGGTGAGGATTAAGTGACTTGATACTTAAAGTGCTCAGAACAGTGCAGACAGACGGCTCTGTCAATGTACAAGCTTCGGTTGCTATTAAAAGGCGACTTGTCACTGCTGCCAGGCCACAGGAATGGTGCCGCAGACCCTCTGAATAAAATGAATTGAAAATAGTCCGCATGGCTGGATGAGGATCAAGCTTCTCCCTGCGAATGAAAGCCATCAACTTTATTCATACACTACGTCTCCACTATTCTCTCTGCTTTTGTAAACTGTATGTGAGCCATTTGACTGTCCCCAAACTTTCTCATCACTCAATCAATAGACATGAGTTTGAGCAAACTCCAGGAGTGAAGGACAGGGAAGCCTGGTGTGCTGCAGTCCATGGGGTCGCAAAGAGGCAGACACGACTTAGCGATTGAACAACAAAAATTTCCCATGTATGGGGCCTCCTTTTGCTCTTTAATTAAAACTGCTGCAGGTCCCCATTTCATTTCATGAATAGTGGAGACCCCATTGTGTGGCTCCTTCTACCTGGAATCCTCCCTACGGCACCCAACTTTAGACTGGTGTCTGTTCCATTGTGGGTCATGGGATGTTTGTTTTTGTTTGTGGCATTTTTCTGTTTTATTTTTTTTTTCCTGTTCCGTGCAGCACGAACATCTTAGTTCCCTGACCAGGGATCAAACCTGTGTCCCCTGCAGTGGAAACTTGGAGTCTTAACTACCGGACCACCAGGGAAGTCCCATTTGTGTCACATCATAGCAAAGGGAACTTCAGTATGGATGTCACTCACGGCTGCCCTGAAGGTCCAAGGGCTGCTCCTTCCCCACTGTCTCCTCCCCCAGGCCCTCCATCTGCCCCTGGGTTCCTGGCTCCTCACTCCTGTGGGACCTGCCCACATCTCTCCCTTTGTTCTCTTTCCCCCTTCACTCCTCTCTCTTGGGCTGCCCTCAGAAGCTCAGGATTCCTTCCCTTTATTATGAAGAGCTGTGTTTGGCCCTCTAGTCTCTACTTGGACTGGCCTGTTTCTGTAAATGAAAAACATGGGCAGGAACCAGCAGAGTCTCACATGTTAGCTTCCCTTCACTATGATCAGATTATCCATGTGGCCCCCGCCACACCACCAGACTCCATCAGAAAAGGGATCCAGACTATGATGTATTCTTTCCTTGATTTAAATTATTCTATACCCCTGGCCTCTTTAAAGACAGATGGAGTCACTGTCTTTTACTTTTTAAAGTGATTTAAAATCTTGCTTGCTAATCATGGAATAGTTTTCCTTCTTCTTCTCTGACTCTCCAAATTCTGCCTGCCTGCCCTGTAGGAATGAACTGAGTCTGCCACCTCAATGAAGATTCCCTGATCATACGACTTGGAATCTCATGGCCAGGCCCCCACTTAGCCATTACTTACCTGTTACCTGGAATTAGGTAATTCAAGTTCCTTGCTTATGTGACTTGTCAGTTCAGTCGCTCAGTCGTGTCTGACTCTTTGCAACCCCATGGACTGCCGCATGCCTGGCCTCCCTGTCCATCATCAACTCCCGGAGTTTACCCAAACTCATTTCCATTGAGGTCCTGACTTGTCACTGCAGTTCAGATGCCCTTTCCCAGAAGTCTTCTGAGACCCAAAAGTTCACTGGAAGACTCTTGGCCTGAGGACGGGAGGAACAAAAAGTCAGAGAGGCATGGGTTTAATCCTGGCTTCCACATCTGTTGGCTGCATGGCCTTTTGCTGGTTACTTAACCTCTATGAACTCTTTCTCTCGTCTATAAAAGTGAGGATGGTTGCTTGTATCACATGGTTGCTCTGAATATGATCAAAGACCAGAAAATAAGTGTTGGTGAAGTGTTAGTCACTCAGTTGTGCCCAACTCTTTGTCACCCCATGGACTGTAGCCTGCCAGGCTCCTCTGTCCATGGAATTCTCCAGGCAAGAATACTGGAGTGGGTTTCCATTCCCTTCTCCAGGGGATCTTCCTGACCCGGGGATCAAACACGTGTCTCCTGTATTCCAGACAGTGTCGGTGAGGATGAAGAGAAAAGGAAACCCTTGTGCATTATCGATGGGATTGTAAAATGAAACAACCACTATGAAAAACAGTATGATGGTTCCTCAAAAAATTAAAAATAAAATTATCATATGATCCAGGAATTCTACCTCTAGGTACATGCCCAAAGGAATTGAAAAAATCTCAGAGAAATAATTGCGCACCCATGTTCATAGTAGCATTACCACAATAGGTAAAGGGTATAAACAACCTATGTTCAAGGCAGATGAGTGGATAAACAAAATGTGGTATATCCATGCAATAGAATATCATCCAGCTTTTAAAAGGAAGGAAATTCTGGCACATGCTGTAGTATGGATGAACCTTGAGGACATTATGCCGAGTGAAATAAGCAG